AAACTCAAGAATTCAATAAAAAAAATAAGGAAGACTTCCCTCAATGAACTTTCAATATTATAAGATCTTCAGAAAAAAAAGAAATCATCAATTGCATGTTTACTACGCGCTGGAATAAGCTGTATACTCTGTTTGTAAAGGAATAAAGGGTATAATTGTTTCTTGCAATGCCTGTTACTCGCTTAGGTTTTAAGATCTCTTATCCCATATAATAGAAAATACTCATTACGATCTGTTTTAAACTCTTCGTGCTGGTAACAGAGTATTGTGAGGTCGGTTGCAACCGACTTTAAAGCTTTTACTGGTTTAATAAGCAACCAGCGATAAGTAAATCCAATTGGAATCGAGGAATATAATAACACTAACCTGTAGCTGAGATTTCCTTTCATCTCTTATGTATAGGACATTTGATAAATTCTTCTTCTTTTCTGATTCTGAAAAAAATCAGATTAATTGTTTTAATTTTTCTATCCTTTTTCTAAAGTCTTAGAACTCTCACGCATATAATTAATCTATTGTTGCTAAGAAATTAATTTTAAATATTACTGAAATTAAGTCAATAATATTTCTATCTTCCAAATAAATGAACTTTCTTAAAAATAATACTTATTAGAATTCTTAAAATGATAAGATATCTTATACAGCTATTTTTATATTCATAACATTTCCTTAAGAATTCTTGCCTTTCTTACAGAGATATTTATTAATTAAATATTTATTAGATTGCAGTCAAACAAATTAGTATTTAGCATAAATATGTATATAAAGATTTATCTATTTTTTTAAAAAACATTTTAATACAGTTCAAATATAGAAAAAACTCTTGTGCTAAGCAATATGCAAGTCAAATGCTAGTTGCGACTAACTACCCTTAATAAAAAACTTTTATTAAAGGTAAATGTTATGGTGTATTTAATAAAACTCTTAAATTGTTGACTGAATAAACGTCTGGTAAATAGATTCTTTTGCAATGAATTGAAATTTCTTGATACCATAGATGTTTACGTATCGTCATAAAAAATACCAATTGGATTAGTTAAAAGATACTTTTGAGAGTTGCCTGACAAGAGCAAAGCAAACGAAATTCTGTCAGCCATGAAGTAGTTACATTGATAGGGTTTTTGTGAGGGGTGAGGGGTGAGGAAAGCGCTGCAATGGGGGTGTAAAGAAATCACCTGCAGCTGGCAGCGGATAGAATGTGACCCGTCTGACTCTCGACTGTCGCCTTGGCAATTGTTGCAACTTGTTGTTGCTGTTTTTGCAGCTTGGCTTCCCCAAAGTGCAGGCTGCACTTGGCTTTTCCCCCAATGCGCTGGGGTAGCCGCCAGCAATTGAGTTTGTTGAATACGTGTTGGTGTGGAGCAGGAGCAGGAGCAGGATCACGAGAGTGGCGGGGGAAGAGGGGTAAGGGCTGAGTGGCGGAACCCCGCTGTGGATTGCAGTTGCACTAGTGACGCGTGTAAGCGGTAAATGAATTTATTTGGCTCATTTAGTTGCAGTTAATTTATTTTTATATTTATTGAATTTATTTAGCCAAACAACCCTCCGAGTACGGGCAAAAGCAATTGAAACATAGAGATCAAAGGCAGTAAACCGAACCGGTTTATGGTCCAGAATACATCTTTAATTGTCAAGGGCGCGCTTTCACAAATACCTAAAGGATCCCAGGAATATTTAAACTGGGTTTATGGTTCTGGAAAAAGAACAGCTTTACGAACCGAAATTAATGACGAATCCTAACTTTAATGTTTGCAGCCATGATAAATGTGATATATATGTTTTTCTAAAGAGATCTGAAAAGATCAACTGTTCAGAAAATATTTGTCTTGCTTTTAAAACAGGTTTCCTTCATTTCTTCCTTTGTACAAAAAAAAACATTTTAATCTATATTTAACTCTAGGAAACTTGAAACGTATAAGAAATATTAAAATATTTTTCCAAATGGGAAACTTAAAGAACTTAGTTAAAAATATATTTTTGGGATCTGCTAAGAGTGCAATTAAATTAGATAATTTATATGCCAGTAAGCTTAAGTCAGTAAGGAAAAATAGCTTGATCATAAATATTGATATTGGATAAGAAAAAAACCAAACAAATCAACCATATTATCAAAGAAATGTAAAGAGCAAACTTACGTTTAGCTTTATACTTTCAAAATATTTGCAAACTTCGTGTCACTTCAGGTGTTCGCTTTTCATAACCTTACAGCAAATGTCAGTCGAAGTATTCTTTAATTTTGCATATTCCAAAATCCACAACACTGTGGCCTAATCATAGGGAGCGTCTCAGTAATTTCCACAGCTTGAGTAAAATGTCTAATAGGTGCTTTTCGACTCCTCCCGCCCAGTTCAAATTGCAGTCCTTGGAGAATTTCTGTGTCGCGTGCCATTGACGCGGCGTCTGGTTTGAACACTTTTCGGCATTTTGATGGTCGCCCAACACGACACTTGGCCATGCATTCAAATTTGTTCAAATTCATTTCAATTACCGTCAATTTTCAATAATTTTGTTCAAATTATATTCCATTAGGCCAAAACATAATTAGCCGCAACACGCGCTCAACATTTTCAAGTATGCGAAGCAGAGAAAATTCTGAAATTAAATTTAGCTCCGCATTAAAACAGATAGTTGTAATAACACTCGATTTTAGACAAGGTTTAAAAAAAGATAGTTATAAATTATATCAGATTTTACGCAAAGTTTTAAAATAAATAGTTATATATCAGATAATTACACATGACATAGGATTTCAGACAAACCAAATATCAGATAATTATAAATGACATTAGATATTGGACAAGGTTAAAAGGAAATACAGTTACATATCGGACAGTTATATATCGGACATATTACATTTTACACAAGGTTCCAATAGGAAAAGTTATATCCTTTTAACCCATTTCCTTGGGCTCAGGGTATAAAAAGATAGTTATAACAAATGATATAGGATATTGAACAAGGTTAAAAAAATAGTTGTATCAGATAGTTATAAATGATATTCGATTTTAGACAAGGTTAAGAAAAATATATAGTTATATATAGTTATATAAAAAGAAAAAATATAGATATATATATCAGATAGTTAAATGATATTAGATTTTAGACAAGGTTTAAAAAGAAAAAAAAAGAACAAATTATACCCATTTTCAATGGATTCAGGGTATGAAAAGATATTTATATATTGTATAGTCATAAATTATATAAGATTTAAGAAAAAAGCTGACACAAGGGAAAATTGAATTAAGGGAAAAACAACATTCAAATGTTTATAAGATTTTTGAATTTTTTTTTTAACATTTGTATATGTTTTTTATAAAAGTAATTAAAACACAAAACTTACCAAGTGTTCAAGTTAGGTTTTTCACTTATAAGAAAGCACGAAAGGATATAGTGCCAATTTTATTTATATGTGTAATAACCTAAAACAGAGAAAATTCAATTGTTTGAGTACTTGAAATGATTAATTTAGGATGGTTATAAATCTTTACAAATACTCTATCTCGCCAGCAGCTGTCTGCCCTAGTTAATTTACCCTGCTCGCAGCGTATCTATAGCATAAGTGTGGGGTTTGGCGCAAAAAAAAAAGGAAGAGAGGGAACTCAACTAGAAAATCCAGCTACATTTAATTTTAAACTTTTCATGTGGCAACTTTTTGACTGCCTCTTGCCGCTGCGTGTGGGTTGCGTTGGGGTTATTTAAGAGGTGGCTGAGGTGGCAATGCATTAGCCAGTGCTGTATTTTATGTGTGGATACGGATACGGATACAGGTGAAAACGCGAAGGGTTAAGCGTAAGCTGGGAGGGAATTTGGGAATGGGAATGGGGATGGGGATGAGGATGGGGATGGGCGTTCGTTTTGGCTGCCATCCGGCTGTGCTGGCTCTTATGAATTTCACATGCTTAAGCCGCAAACTTATGTGCGCGCACAGCTTGAAATCCACGCGCACGTAAACTAAACTCTAACTAAACCAAAACTCACATTCCTGCCTGGGTATCTATTGCCTCGAACTTTGCTTTTCAGCAGCCTCCAACTCAAACTCAAACTCATACTGATGCGGTTGTCCTTGTTGTCGCCGCCGCTGCACAGCTGCACTTCGGCTTTGGCATGTTACCAGGGCTTAGGACCCGGTAACCGGTACTCACTTCTCCCAAACTCAGCAGCCGGCGGCATCGTGTGCCAAGTCAATGAGCAATTGACTGCCATCGCGTAGACGTTTCGCATTGCGATAAGCCCAACTAGCCCATATTCATATCTCATGCCTCTCTCCCCTCCCCTCCCCTCCACAAATATGCTTCAATACGAGCACAAAGTTTTCGCACTGCATTCACTCACCGTGTGGGGCAAAAGTCCTTTCAAGTGCATTTTCGGAAAATATGCGTAAAAAAAAACCGAATTCAGTTTTGAGTGATGTGTGACTGGATAAACATTAAGAGTGCCTCTATCTACGAGCCCAGCCTATAAAAATAAAGTGCAAAATAAATAATTATAAAATACATATGAGAAAATGTTGGGATATTTCTAGATATATTATATTATATCCTAATAAAAAAAAGCTAGTTTTAAATATATATTTTAACTACTAATAACCGATTTAAATAGTTATCGATAACTGAGTGTTTTATAATCGATAACATAATCGGATTATTTATCACTTGAAAGTTATCGATAACTATTGAAATGATTAACAAGAGTTTAATAGCTGGATGTATTCGACTAGAAAATACTCTGCACTTAGCTCCAAACTATTGTAACATACAATCGTTCTTAGTTCTATATATAAATATTTTCTCTATGACCCGTTTCTACTTAACAGATACATTTGTATCTCACTGATATTTGCAGACGTAGATATGGTTTAAAATAGTTGCAAACTCTAAAAAGGAAAAGGCTTTTAATTTTCATATACTGCCTCTGATGAAATTTATATAATTATTTAGAAGATCCTAAACAAATATATTACAATATGACGTACGATAGAAAATAAATAAATTGTTTGTTCATGTTTTGCTGGCGTCTTTCTAACTTTTAAGCCCTAATCTGAAAGCTGTTGTCCGTCATCCGGTTCACTCTCCAAATATCGCTGGGAATTGTAGGTGGTGACCAGCTTATGGGCCTGCTTCACAAGGGATTCCAGTTCGCATAGAGTTGGCTCCGCTTCCTGCAGAAACTTGGATAGACGCAAATTCTTTTCCAGGGTCTTGGGATCGGCCAGAACCTCCTCAAAATGCATCTTGAAATTAGAGAAAAACTCAAATAGTACATCGTGATGCATAACAACGTCGGATATCTGAATGCCTTGTTCGGGGTCAACTTCCCCGTCTCCGTCGACGTCGCCTTCGCCTTCGCTCAGGAGGTCTGGATTGCTGTCTCCCTTACGAAAAGAACTGTTGCCCTCCGAGGCTTGGCTGGAATTAAAGTCAACAAAGCCGCTGGGCTCATCCAAAAGTTCGGTGTCAAAGTCTTCCGACTCGGAGACATCAGAGTCGGGACAGGACTCTGTGTCGTGCTTGACATCGTCATCAAGCGAAGAGTTCTTCTCATCAATTTTAACTGGCTGATCGTAGTCAGCTTCTAGAGGATCTTCTTCCTTGGCCACCAATTCCTTGACACGATCCGCATAGCGCAGCGTATTCAGCGTATTCTCCACGGAGGTCAGACCCGGCGATATCATGGCTATCATGCACGTCTTGTTCTGCTCGCCGCCAATGAATGAATCGCGCAGCACCTGCGTCAGCTTGGAGCCACGGAACGGCAGATGACTCGAATGGCGACTCAAGGCGCGAATGCACTCCTTCAGCGCCAGCAGCGACTTGTTGATTTCGGCGCCCTCGCGACGCGTCTGCAGATTGGCCGACTGTGTGTCCGCGCCGCGCTCATTACCAGCCAGATCCACAAAGGAGCACTTGCCGCACGGCTCCCACTGATCGGGCATGAGCAGGCCCATCTGGAAGACGGCATGCGAGCGTGACGATTTGATGTTCACAGATGTTTGGCCCGAGGTACGCTCCCGATTGCCCTGCTCGATGATACCCAGCACTTCCTCCACCTTAGTAACTGGCATTTTGGTCAGGCCGCAAATCACAACCTGTTGGCGACCATCCTCCAGGACGCGCAGCATCGGTTTGTCCGGCAGCAGCAAATCGAAAACCTAATTAGGTAGGTTAGGTTACGGTTAAAAAAAAAAGCTGAAAAGCTATCGATACACTATCGATCTTCTGCATCGATAGCTTTTGTGAATACAATAAAAATGGCAAATATCGAAAGTCTAAACGATTCTTACGGATAAATTAAATTATATCTTAAAATATATACCACACTATTAATAGTATAAATAGCAAGACTTATCGATTTAACTAAATATCGATAGATAACAACGTATCGATTGTAGCTACTATCGACAGGTTTGCAACACTTATTCACTGTCTTTAAATTGTTTTAAGCCTAGATAAGGACGCTTATTAATCGATAGGCTCTAAATATCGGAAGCCGATAAAGTATCGATTGTAGCTACTATCGATAGTTTAGGCACACTCAATCTGTGGTGTAATATTGCATAATATAGCTATCGCTTCTTGAATTTAAAGTCCGATCAAACTATCGATAATTTTGCAATCGCATTTGATCGATATTTTACCTTACTGCCGTAGATCTCAAAATAGCTGCACGTGATGCTGGCGCCCATATCACGATATTTCGGCTTGGCCAGCTCGGCGAACACATCCTTGGCGGCCAGAGCATAAATGCCCGTTGTGCAATCCTGCACCTTGCCACAGAACTCGCCGCCCATGGTGTGCGTCTTGCCGCTGCCCGTCTGTCCGTAGGCAAAACAGGTGGCATTCCCGCCCTCGAACATGGTGCGAATCAGCGGACGGGCCGTGTGCTCATAGACCAGAGTATTGCTGCACTGCTCGTCGAAGGTGTAGTCAAAGCGAAACTTGTGATGCTCCAGGAACTTGGTCAGATCCACCTTGTTGCGCAGCTCGTGAATGATCAGCGAATCGCGACTGGGCACCGATATGATGTCCACGGCCTTGGCCTGCAGTTCGCGCCGGCTCATTGGACGCTTCCGCACGCAGACGGTGATCTGCTGGACGCGAGCACCGCGCGGACTGAGGTACCGCAACGGATTTAGTTGCAGCTGATCACGATAATTGCGCACCATTAGGGCCACCTCCCAGTTGGGATTGCCTGGGTCTTTGCTCTTCAGGGCGCACTGCTCCTTCCGCTGCTCGGCCTGCATGGCGCGTCGGCGTTCCCGCTGCTCCTTCAATCGTTCCACCTCGCGGACAACGCTCGAGCAGCGGCGAACGCTCGAGGTGCTCGATGTGCCCTTGACCGCAGTCAGTTCAGTGCCGTTAATTCCCGGATTGACAACGCCGAGCACGGCATGAATTGGCGGCTTCAATGGCTTTATAACGGCCGGCGAATTGGCGCCTCCATCGCAGCGATTGCCAGCGCGCAGGCGCTTCTTATACGGGCTGTTTGTGGGCTTCTTGCGATACATATTGTAGCCCGATAGATTGTGCGGCTTTGATTCCATTTTTGGCTGCTGCTGCTGCTGCTGCTCCACCTTTTTGTCCAACGGCGATTTCTGTTTGACCTTTGCTAATGACGGATTCAGCTCCAATACAGAGCCCCAGGGTATTTCCTTACCTTTAACCTTGCTGCCCTGTGTCCATTCAACGGTCACAATCTGTCGCTCGATACTCTTCAATCCGACTCTCGCGGACTGTATGCATCCGTCGGATCGTCTTATATTGATCTTGTCGCCAATCGCTAGCAATTCCATATAGCAGCGTCTGCGCATGTATCAGAAACCTAACTTACGATTAGACAATAAAAATAAAATTGTTTCGTAACAGACCGTTTGGAGCTAAGCTGGTCGAGTCTGTTATCCGAGTGTTGTGCCTAGGTTTTGTGCTCCAAACGATAACTCTGCGAATGGCAATCAATCCAATGATATCCTGATCAACTACTCAAATATGGCCACGCACAATAGATGGCCACGTACTCCCATCCAGGACATTTGCCTATAAATATTTCTCGATTCAACTCGCTTCTCTTATTCTTCTATAAAAAGTTTTCTTCGAATTTCCAAAAACGTTACGTTTTGTTTGGGGTTTGCAAAATGCAAGTGTTGTATCAAATGTAGTACGTCAAGTCGTTCAACAATTATTTTAAAAAGAAAATTTGACAATTTTCACCGTCTGCTTGTATCTATTTTTATACCCTCGCAGAGGGTATTATAATTTTGTCGTGAAATAACGCATAGAAGGAGACATCTCCTACTTTATAAAGTATCTATATATTCTGGATCAGTATCAAAAGCCGACATATGTCGGAACCAGCTGGATCGGATTACTATATCATATAGCTGCCATAGGTCGGTCGAAAAGTAAGTTCTTGTATGAACAACTTGTTTGTTTATCTAGATGTCTTAACCAAACTCGGCATCTAATAGTTTAAGTATGCTCCTAATATATATGCAAAATCCTATTAAGATCGGACAACTATATCATATAGCTGTGAAAGGAACGATCGGTCGAAAATTAAGTTGATTTATGGAAAATTATTTAACTAAATTAACTACTTTCCCTGTGCTTCTTACATACGGGCAAAACACTATGAACATTATGAAAAGGTTGGATCTACAAGGGTATTAAATCTTCGGCGTGCCGAAGATAATCCTTCTTTCTCGTTTCTGGTTATAAAAGGCAAGACGTAACTATGTCCTAAGCGAGAGTTCTTGGCCTTAAAGCGCCGAACTCAAAACCGATTCGGTTCGGAACAATTTCGCAACCTTCCAATAGCTGTACTCAAGATCTAGTTTCGAAAAAAAAGGAATTGCGCAATATTTAAAAAACTACTCAAAAACTGGATCTCTATTAAAATGAAAGTTTTCACTCCGAACAAACCGCACACACCTTGTGCAGGCATCATTATTTTTTGACTTTACCGTGCGACAGACTCTTGGCAAAGTTGGCGTCAAGTTATGTGCACTTGGCCTGGCAACAAATACTACTACAACTGGCAGATGACATCGCCTAACCTTAAGTTCCTTGAAGTTGAAGCCAAGCAATTTTCCGGTGCTTACCAAATGCAGATGCAGATCTGATACGGATGCAGCTGCCATTCGGGCAAGGCACAAGAAGCTGAAGAAGAAGAGCTGTAGGCGAAAAACTCTTAAAAGTTTAGTTTTAATTAAAGGAAATTTGCGTGCGTGGCACTTGATTTGTAGTGTTTCCGTATGTTCAGAGTCTCTGTGAGTGTGTATGTGCAGGGGGAGGGGGGTGATGAGGTGTTGGCGCTGGCAAGCCCTCATAAAAATATAAATATAATTGAAATTCTAAATTGCAATTGCCGCAAACGTCTGCTGCTGCAACTCCAACTGCAGCTGCACCTAATGCGGGCGTTCTTGGCTGCGGGGCGTGGCAGCAGCTCGGCCTTCCAACAGTTTCTTCCCCCAGCTTCTTCTCACACGTTGCTGTTCTACGTAATTAGAAGCAAATGCAAATTTACACGTCGAGTGTGACGTCGGCGCTGACGGAAGTCATTGAAAGCGCCGATGCGTTCAGCAGGCATTGTGGCAGCAGCAGCACCAGCAGCAGGGGCAGGGGCAGAAGGAGAGTAGTGCGATTCTGGCAGGAAGCTGGCAGCAGGTAACTTCAATGGATGTATGTGTGCGGATACATCTAATGAGAAAAGTTTTGGAGGTGTCTGAGCGGTAGCCGGATGTGTTGATAGGTTGCCTTAGTATTGCCAGCTAAAACCGCATCCGTTTCCAACCGAGTCGGATTAACAGTTGCCTCTAAAGGTGGCTTATTAACAGCTTTAGCAACGCAATTGAATTATGAATAAAATGCAGTTGGATTAGGTTCATTCAGTTCAATTATCTGGCCAGTAACAGCTGAAGAGCTCACTTTAGCCCATTAAATGATGATACAATATTAAAAGGGTCTGAAGCCCCTTTTGGTCTTAAAACTAAAGAAAATACATTATCTTTAAACGAGAAAGAAATGCGAGGGAGCAAAGTGAAATTTCAATATGCCGAGTTTGGTTAAAATATCTTAAACAACAAAAAAGTTTTCCATAAATCAACTTAATTTTCGAACGAAGCTATATGATATAGTTGTCCGATCTTAATAGGACTTTGCATATATATTAGGAGCATACTTAAACTATTAGATGCCGAGTTTGGTTAAGACATCTAGATAAACAAACAAGTTGTTCATACAAGAACTTACTTTTCGACCGACCTATGGCAGCTATATGATATAGTAATCCGATCCAGCTGGTTCCGACATATGTACTGCCGGCAACAGAAAGAGGCACTTCTGGAAAGTTTCATGACGAAAGCTTTAAAACTGAGAAACTAGTTCGCATAGAAACAGACAGACGGACATAGCTATATCAACTCGGCTTTTGATACTGATCCAGAATATATATACATTATGGGGTCGGAGATGTCTCTTTCTATGCGTTACACATTTCACGACAAAATTATAATACCCTCTGCAAGGGTATAAAAAAGTTCCAATTCAATTTTGTCTAAGTTTCTAGGTTCCGAATCGTAACGAGTTTCTCTTTCGGATATTCTCTGGCTTCTTATAAAAACATGAAAGCATGCTCTTTTTTGCGCAACTCATTAATAAATTAATTTATATATATTTGTTTACAGTTTTAGTTCATTCTCGTATACAAATATTTTCCAAATATTTTTGGTCAAAGAACTAGTTCCAGTCATTTGTACTATTTTCTGAGAGCTCATCTGAATAATTGACAAGGCATTTAGAGACCTTGAATTACTGGCTCATAATTAATTTCACTCTTTGCAAGAATTAGGAATTCATCCAAAAAATTCAAAAAGATTTTCCTGCTGCTGCTGCTGCTGCTGCTGCTGTTGTTGTTGTTGCCCACCGCCATTTTGCTGCTGCTGCTGCTGCTGCTGTTGTCCTAGATCCAGCTCAATGCCGCCGCCAAAGGGTCCTTTTATTATCAGCTCGTTCTCCGTTTGCTGCTGCTGCTGCTGCTGACCGCCGGCAGCTGATTGTTGTTGCTGCTGTTGTTGCTCCTGGATGAATTCGATGCCGCCACCGAACGGACTGTCTATTTCAAATTTCTCCACCTGCTGTTGCTGCTGTTGTCCCGACCCAGCCTGTTGCTGCTGCTGCTGTTGCTGCTGCTGTTCACCCAAAAAGTTCCAAAATCCATATTGAGCCGCAGAACAGGCAAAGCTCATGAGAGCTATGAAGATGAGCAGCTAAAAATCCGACTTATCTAATTACGTTCAGATATATCCAGTTACAAAACTTACGAGGAATTTCATATTGCTTGGCGATCTGCACAATTGTTGGCTGCCTTTGTGACTATTTTGTCTACGGTCAGCATTTGTCTTTTTATAAAACATTTTGTTGTTGAGAAACTAGTTGAACATTTGGCTAAACTCGTGTAGATCCCCTACAAATTGTAAACCCGTTTCGGTTTGTTTAGATTTCTTGTTGTTTTAGCCGACTTCTGCTTTAGTAGGCTTTAATAGGCAGCATGTGCGGTGTCAGCAACCTGAGAGGGTCGATGGATGCTAATCATTTCTCGGGTAAATTTTTACAAAAATTTGCTCAATCATCGCGTTTTAGCGAGGAAGCAAATTAAAATATTTTTGCTTTAATTATATGAATCATATTATTACGCCTATTTATGGATTTCGGCTGGCACTTTATAATTTGATGCCCTATTTTTTCATTAAAAACTGAAAGCTTGGTTATTTCCTCTAAATATTAAAAATGAAATTTGAGAGAGAAAGTGTAGAATATTTTGTTTAAGTTTTACCGAATAAATATCTGCCTTCAAATTTGAATATCCTTGCTGCGTTTATTAGAAATATGTTTTCTATTTCCTTCTCAACTAATCTAACGACTTTGCAAAAGTTACGCTGTTTTTTTGCTTCTTCTTCATTTACAATCTATATAGATAAAAGTAAATTTGAATAATCAGATTTAAGAGGAATCTGAATAAAGTTGTGTGTATTGCCATCAAGTTGTTTAATTCTTGATTTTTGTTCTATTTCGTGCACTTCATTCACGCCAAATTAATTACCACAAAGCTATTTATCAACACTGGCGAGATAAACGGCAGATAGAATCCGCGTCTTCTGTGGACGTTGCTTGACAAATCGCGCGGTTGGGTTTGGAATGAGTGAATCGCCCGAAAAGTTAATTTAGTGTATTAAAAGTAGCCACAGCAATAAGTTGCAATGGGCATTGTGATAGACATCAGTGTGAGGCTCTCAAGTGTAAAATGTTCAAAATGAAAATGGTTTTGAGCGAAATGTTAAATGGTGGAAATGGCTTAATGGTGGAAATGGGTGAATGGTGGAAATGGGTGAATGGTGGCCGAAAATGGAATTGTCATTTAAACTTCAACTCAAGTTTTAACTGATGGGCAACAAGTGGAAACAAATGAGACCGAAAAAGTAATTAAAATTACCAGCATTCCGGTGGCGCATACACTACTTAAGATCGGATAACGGATGTGCTTCCAGAAAAGTTTCCATATTCGCCCAACGCATTGCAGCCTGTTCGCCTTGTTAACGCGGCCTATAACGGTAATACACTTGAGCGGTTCGAAATGATTAAGAAAGCCACACGCAAATATCTCTCTGGCAACTCACCCCCCCCCCCTCTCTGCCACCCCCTGCCACTCTTCGACGACCATGCCCCATTGATGTCGTTGCCACTTAGATGAATTTTCTTGAGCGACGCGTCGCTAAAAACAACCGCAAGTAAATGAGTTCTGATATTGACATGAATTATGCGCCTCAGTGACCTTACAAATACGGGGCCTATACATATATGAATGTCTAAGGCATGTACTTATTACATGGATAAACTTATGTGCGTGTGTGTGTTTTATGCTTGTTAAATTAAGTTCTCAATTTTAATGGGCACTTTTGAGTGCGCTTGTTTGATGCCGCAATGAATAATCAGATCAATTAATGTAATTTTAAATAATAACATAAAGATTGTCAGCTTCGGGAAGCTCTTTAAAGCAATTAGTTTTCTAATATATTAAAGAACAAATCAATTATTCTTGATTAAAAACACTTCATTTAGCTGAAGGTGTGAAAATTACGGCTATATCATAAATCAATACAAAAAATATTGTAGCACTTTTAAATTTCTGCAAGTTTTCTCATGCTTCGTATTGTGTTCGCCCTCTATCGGCGCTCGTTTGAACTTAATTTTTTACCGATTTTCTTACTTCGCATTGGTAGCCCTCTATTGGCCAAATGCGCAGTTGCGTATGAAGGACATTAGCTAAGCAAGCAGTGCACACTTGGTTATGATTAAATTACAATATTAACTGCTTGCTTGAAAGATTCCTTATAAGCAGTTATTTATTGGCGCGGCAATTCAAGCGTTTTAAAACTGACATATTTTTAAAATATGCGTTCAAAATTAAAGTTTTGTTTTAACGTATGCTTTAACAAATTCGTATTTTCTTCTTTGAAGAAGTTTAATACTCTTAGAAAGTCTTCTGCCCCCCGAATCCTTCCTGCGGCTGTTGCTATTCTCCTCAGAAGCCCCCAAATCCTCCAAAGCTTTCCTGCTGCTGCTGTTGTTGCTGCTGTGCTCCGCCACCAAAGCCGCCAAAGCCTCCGGAGCTTTCCTGCTGCTGTTGCTGCTGCTGTTCTCCACCACCAAAGCCGCCAAAGCTTTCCTGTTGCTGTTGTTGCTGCTGTTGTTCTCCACCACCAAAACCGCCAAAGCCTCCGAATCCTTCTTGTTGCTGCTGCTGTTGCTGCTGTGAGCCGCCACCAAAACCTCCTCCAAAACCAAACTGAGCCGAAGCCGAAGCAAGCGTGGCTATCGCAATGAAGGCAACCAACTAAGGATCACACCAAGAGAATATTCAATTTTATGCTTCAGGCCACAACCACAAGCAAAACATACCAGGAGTCTCATTTTATTATTATTATTTTTGGGGATATTAACTGTACGATGCTCTTTTTACTACTATCTCGGCTGTGATGGGCACATCAGCAATTTATACGATTTTCGTTTGAAGTTTGTCCACGTAAAACGAGTTCAATATTAGGCCAGACGGCGGCCAGACGCATGGGCTTCTTCAAGCTGATAAAGTCAACATATTAAGCTAGAAAACCGGTTCATTATTTTCGTTTTTGTTTTGATAAGCAGTCGCCGACCGCGTGATAAAGTCCATCATATCAACGTAAAAGCATAGAATTTAAATGTATTATTATTATTATTATTATATTATGCCGGCATACTGTTACAACGCCCATTTTTTCCACAGAATTTAAAATTCCATTTATATTTAAATTTTCCATTCGTTTCAATTTTACCACGTGTAAATCACAGCAGGAAAAAAAACACCGAAGAGACGTCATATTATATTAAAATAATTAAAGGGAAATTAAACTAATTAAATTAAATTCTACCTACAAGTTTATTTTACTTTTTGATGTATCAGTAGCCTTTTAAAATTCCCCTTTTCTTATTACTAGATTTTCCTACTGTGCGGTTTTTTTGAGCTCCTGAGACTCATTTTCTACGATGTTACTTGAGGTCATGAAAATCGCATAGAAGGGCAATCTGTAAGAAAATTTCACTGCTATCTATCTTAGCCGACATAATTATATATCATTGACTCTTGCTCTTGCTTTTTTTCCGTACCTCTCTTCTTCTCTCTTTATATCTCTCTTACCAAGCCTCTGTTTTGTACAACCACCTATTCGCACTGTAGTTTTCTTTTTCGCCATCTCCCTCGCACACGAGATCGATATCCTAATCACTAACGCACTCTTTTTTCTCTCAACGGGGTGTCAATCAATTATATTTCTCACTCTTAGAGCTGACTCATTCCCATTTCCACTTGCTCTCCCTCGCTCTCTCTCTCTCTCTCTTGCTAACTTCCCCTGGCTTTTCTACTCGCTCTCTTTTTCTTTTGCTCTCACTCTCTCGAGCGTTGCAACAAAAACGCCCTTTTACTAAATCTTAAACTTTCTCCCCCGTGTAATATTTCTAAATATAACAAAAGATATATAATTATGATATATATGATAAAGATAATAATTATAATAGTGATAATTATATTGATCGTGATAATGACATTTATAATAATAACGATAACGGTGATAATAATGATAATGATAATGATAATGATAATGATAATGATAATGATAATGATAATGATAATGATAATGATAATGATAATGATAATGATAATGATAATGATAATGATAATGATAATGATAATGATAATGATAATGATAATGATAATGATAATGATAATGATAATGATAATGATAATGATAATGATAATGATAATGATAATGATAATGATAATGATAATGATAATGATAATGATAATGATAATGATAATGATAATGATAATGATAATAATAATGATAATGATAATGATAATGATAATGATAATGATAATGATAATGATAATGATAATGATAATGATAATGATAATGATAATGATAATGATAATGATAATGATAATGATAATGATAATGATAATGATAATGATAATGATAATTATAATGATAATGATAATGATAATGATACTGATAATGATAATGATAATGATAATGATAATGATAATGATAATGATCATGATCATGATCATGATCATGATCATGATAATGATAATGATAATGATAATGATAATGATAATGATAATGATAATGATAATGATAATGATAATGATAATGATAATGATAATGATAATAACAATACAAAATGTATAGAATAGGTATAATGATAATGATAATGATAATCATAATACAAAATGTATAGAATAGGTATAATAGTCTTTTATTTAATAAGGCTTTAACTAGTTATATACAACTGTGCATCCGGCTATCCTAATACGAATTGCAGATCTTATACGATAATTATAATATAGCAGATAAGTAGTTGATATAATGCGTCCATCTTCGTTCTCCTTTCACAAAAAACAATTGCAACATTTGTTTATACGCCTTCGCCTACAGCTCAGTGGTGGCCACGCCCCAATATTTACGCATGCGACTCTCATGCTCCGTAAAGCCGTCCTCGTCGAGCTCCTCCTCATCCAAAATATTGTGATCTCTCTCCTGTGTAACAGGGAAATCATACTCAAAATTAGAGGGCATGCGCCGCTGCAGGGAACCAAAGTAAGCGGCATGTGGTCCGCCGCCCAACTTGGCATAAACATCCCGTGACTTGCCATCGAAGAGATTGTAGCCATAGTTGGGGGACTGCTGGAAGGAGCGCATGCTGCCAAAATGTTCGGTGGGTAGCTGCTGCTTCAACTGCTGATAGGCACCCGACGGAGGATTGGGGGGCTGGGGGCTAGTCAACTGGGGTGTGCTGCTCGAGATGAACTTGTTGGTCACGTTGCGTATGAGATTGGACTTCAGATCGTTGCATTCGTTGCCGGCTGTGGGCAGTCGCTGTTTGGTAAAGGATTTGGATATCGTATTCAGCTCCTTGTCGAACAGCAGCTGGGTGTTCTGCTCCAGCATATATTCCCAGCATTTGAATTGCTCTTCGGATAATACCGACTCCGTCTCGTCCAGCATTTCCAGCTGCTGTTCCTCCTGCAGCACACGCGCATGCGCCAATATGAACTCGTCCTTGGCCACAGTGGCCACATCTTTGCTCAACAAATCCGGATTGCTTTGGCCGCTGGGCGAAGAGCGTCCAGCCAGCAGCTCCTGCTCCAAATTGCGATGCCGGCACGCATTGCTGCGATCACAGCAGGTGCGCTTGCTCACGGACAGGCTGGGCGGTGGTTGCGGGCTTATTAGCGCGGGTTTTTTACGCACACTCTGCTTCAGCTCCCGAATCAAATGATCCACATCGGTGCTCAGGTGACTGAACCGCACCACAATCACGCTGAGATTCGCTGTCGCGCCAAAGCTTTGAGCTATCTCCAGCAACCGTTTGGCGGCCAGCAGCGGATTCTCCTCCTTGCGTATCTCCCGTGCCGCACGTCCAATGTCCATCACAGCCCACAGCTGATCATTGCCCAGCACCAGGTACTCATCATCGTTGCTCAGTGTTATCTGCATAATGTTTAAGATGCGTTAATGGTAAAAACAATAATCATTTCAAGAGTGCGAAAATCAAGTGAAGAGTCAAGTGCAGTGCGACTATCTGGGCATTTTGTGTCCTTACGAGGAATCAGGAATCAGGTTAAGTTAGTTTTATCCAATCCTATGCAAAAATGCAATGACTTTTCCTGGCTTCTACCTCTTTTTTAAAAATCAAGGGTATAATCCTCCAACTGAGAAAGTTACATCCTGGAAGGGAAATATAGGAATACAGTGTCCAGAATGTGCTCCGAATTTTCATTGCTCTCAAAGCAGATTTTGCCCTTGTCATCCTCCAGAATTTTTAGTTCGAGCAGAAGCTTGCGCAGAGTGAAATGTCCTATCAAGGAGTCTACAGACCCTCTTCGGTTTGTTTATTGTTATCGCTACCTGGGACTTTAGGAGCTGCCAGCATATCTCGTTTGCTCTCTGCGTTTTTTTTTTTGTTTACTTAACCTGGAGTCATAGTCCAAAAATGGTTCGAGCCTCCAAAATAATGAGCTAGCCCATTTCTAAATTAATTTAAGCAATGACGACTTTTTTTTGCATGCCGTAGAAGAAATACCCCTAAGGGTTTTTAAAATCGGCGAGTTGGCGAAAGATATTTTAAAAAACAGCAAACATATTGCGCCGTCTTCTTAAAAAACTATATGATATAGGCGTCCTATGTTAATAATATTTTTCTCACATGTCAGAAGAAAAGCGAAACTCAAAAAAAACCGACTTTGTTCAAGATAACAAGGCACAAGATCCTAATTTTTAACCGATCATTCCTATAACAGCTTTTTGATATAGCTCTCTAGGTTCTGGCTAGCTTCAACAAATATATAATATATACAACAAAACATAGCAAAGATTAAAAGTGATTCTTGACGATTCATGAGTTTTAAGACAGAGTTTCCATCGTTACCATAGAAACGTAAAGTCGGACAGACGAACATGGCCATATCGAGTCGGTATAACTCAATTTTAAAAAGTTCTCTAAACAAATGAAAGCTTGTTTTCTTATAGATGATAATAAAGCAACTAGATCATATCACTATTTAATGTGTAAAGATGTTAAGTGCAACCCTTTGAAGGCGTTATCGGCATTAAAAAATAAGCTATTTGGAACTCACCTCCAGCAGTTGAGGATCGGGCAGCGTCTGTGTAGCTGTGACACGTTTATGGCCATCGCAGTGTGCTACAGACTCGGTCAATCGCAGGTGGGTGGTGCGTCGCACCAGGTACGCGTCGAAGTGGCCCAGATGGGCTAATCGCAGCACATAGCGCTTGGATTTTAGGGCGCGCACCTTGGAGGGTTGCCGGAGCAGGTGCAAGAGCGTGGCGCTGCGCAGGCAAACGCCGGATTGCCGCTGCGCCGACAGCAGTGTGTACTTCATGTAGTCATTCAGCGGCGACTCCTTCAGCGTTTGCTCCTGCCTCAACAGGCCGGGCACTAGTTGGGCCATTCGCTGTGCCTGGCGTGCATCGCTCTGCGACTCAAACATGCCCAGGAGAGCTTCGTCTGCGCATCCATTGAAGTGACTCGCACGCAGCTGACTGACAAGCAGCTTGCGCAGCTCACCAGGTGTCTCGGCAAAGCCCAAGGACCAGGGCAGCGTCTTGGCCTTGTGCACAGATTTGTTATACTCTGAAGGGAGGCGTCGCGTGCTGGTGGGCAATTCGGCGCGATTGTTGCCGGAGACATCGACTAAGCTCCAGACGCGCTGGCTTTGCGTCTTGCAGACCTTTAGCTGCTGCTCATCGACCTGCAGCTGCAAATTGCCAGACAGATCCAAGTACTTGAGATTGCGCGCTGGAACCAGGGACAACAGATTAATGCGATCCAAATGATTGTGCGCCAAATCCAGTATC